CATTGGTTACCTTGATAGAAAAGCCCAATTAGATGGGTCTAGGGAAAAAAAAAAAAAAAATGGTGACATATAGGCTAAATTGGCAGTATATCTTTTAAGGATAGTTTCATTTTTTGTCATTGGTTAGCAACCTGCTACCATGCAGGACTTGATGAGCTGTGAAAGGATTTCTATAGCACTGAAAACGTGAAGTAGAATTTCCACATATTTGTATATAAACTCTATTCACATTGATGTGTCTGAATAAAGCAATATTCCCTACTTGAAGTTAGTGAACAAAAACAAAAAACAAACAAACAAAAAACTTTCCAAGACACTGCCTCTGTCAAAGAGGCATGAAGAGACGTGCTAGAAGTAGACTAGCTTGTCATATGTTGAGCATTTTGTGAATAAGGTCCTGAGCCAGATGCTGTGTGTTAGTTAACCTTACTAAGCAGATTGCCTTATTTCGGTTTAAAAATGAGGATATAGGCTCAAAATATTAAGTAACTTATCCAAGTGACTTGGATAAGAGCACGCTCTTTTTTTTTTTTAAGCAAGTCATACTCAATTTTTTTTTCTAAAGAAAAATAAATAAATAAAGTGTTCAGTCATTGTCTAAAATGAAATCTTACACATGGGCAGCTGTGGTTTACACTGCCCAACTACACTCCTAAGTTTCTCTTACCTCCACTTATTACTTTCCCCAACAGAAAAATCAAACAAATGTAACTGATGGATTTTTGTACTTCAGCTGCTTTGAAACAGTAGACTTCTGAAATCTCATCTACCTTTTCCTATAACTGAAGTCAATTGAGCTCAACTAATACAAAAGCAAACACAAATTCCTCTAGATTTACCTGGTGATAATTCAGCAAATTAGAACATGTTAGCTGGAGGCGGTCCAGTTGCAACTGACAAAAGCCAAAAGTTCATGGTATTCCAAGAATTGAAATAGAAGACCTGCATAGCCCTGCTTCCTCAATATCCTTCCTCCTGATCCCATTTTGAATGATTCTCTTAGGAATGCTTTCTCCATTTGGGTTTTTTTTTTTTTTCCCCACAAACTCAACATTTCATTAGGAAACATACAAAAGAAAAAAAAATAAATAAGATCCAATTCGGAAATAATTGGCAATAGATAGATAATACCTACTGGTACTTGAACACAAGAGAATACCAGCTCAAAATGATGCTAGAGATGTTGATTGAAAGAGTCAGATGTGGGTATTGGGTTATCTCTAAAAGGAAACATAAGGAAAATACAGAAGTAATGAGAAAAATATGTTAATAAAAAACAGAACCCCCGCACACTTGGATGGCTCAGTCGGTTAAGCGGTTAAGCAGCTGCCTTCTGCTCAGGTAATGATCCCAGGGTCCTGGGATTGAGTCCCACATCCGGGGAGGAGGGTCCCTGTTCAGCAGGGAGCCTGCTTCTTCCTCTGACTCTACCTGCTGCTCTGCCTGATTGTGCTCTCTCTCTCTCTCTGACAAATGAATACATTTAAAATATTCTATTAAAAAAAAAAAAACACAAAAGAACAGAACCCCCAAGTTATCTATTCAGTCTTGAAATTGAGGTGTAGAAATAGTGACCAAGGGATGCTCCATAAATAATATTACCTATTTTTTATAGATATATACAAAGGTATTAAGATTTTATATGCAATGCTTTTTTTTTTTTTGGTATATGACAATTCAATCAGTTTCACAGGAATTATATTACCACCATTTTATATACGGTGTCAAGGTAGCTCAAAATAGGAGGCTTATATAAGTTAAATAGAAGGTCAGAATTTTATATACAATAGATCATATTGTATGGATATTTTGCTTTACATTTCAAACTCCTCCCTTCAAAGGACTTCAAATTATTTCCAAAATGGTTCACAAACATGTTTCCTAAGATTCCTATACTGTGAAGAATGGGCTGGGTGGGATTGTATCCATAGTTTTGTAAACAAAGAAATTAAATGACCTGGTTTAGGTTTCACAGTAACCATTCTAGAGTATTGAATTTTCTTGTGAATGTAATTCTTCATATACTGCATGGTGTTGATGTTTACATTCACATTTTACTATGTTTACATTTTTAAAAATTAAAAAAAATTCTTTAAAGATTTTCTTTGAGAGAGAGCACGAGAGCATGAGCTGGGGGAGAGGCAGAAGAAGAGACCCAAGAAGGTCTCAGAAGCAGGGAGCCCCAAGGCAGGTCTCAATCCTAGGACCCTGGGATCATGACCTGAGCAGAAGGCAGACCTTGAACCAACAACCACCCAGGCACCCCTATGTTTACATTTTTAAAATAATAACTTAAAATAATAAAAAAATACATCTAATTTTTTTTTTAATCTGCTCCAAGGGTGACATTTCTTAAAACATTTCCTTGATTGATCCTAGTATATCTGTCACCTGGTTTTGTTGCATTTTACTCATTTGTAGCATCAGATGTTTGACCACATTTAATTTTCATCTTAATTTCCATAACTGGTTATACAATTTGACGAGGAAAAATATGGAGTGGATTTGCTTCTTAAAAAAAAAAAGACATCAAACTAACATACTTACTGGGATTGACAGTTCAAATTAATCAACCACTTCTTTTTTCTCTTCCTGGCAGAGAGAGAGGGAGGGGGAGAAAGATTGAAAGAGAGAGGTTCCGCATTAATGTCAATCAGTGCTTAGAAAGAGAATCTGTTCCTCTAGGTCTGAATAATCAAGTGCATATGTTTTTAATTAGTAACGTCTTTGTACCCTGTGCCTCATTTAAGCACTCTTCTTTTATTTGGTGGGTTAAATTTCTGCAATTATTTTTGTTTTTATATGTCTGGAGAAAATAATTCAAACAATCAAATCAACTAGAATAAGCACAAAACTAAATACTGCGGAGAGATGCCTCTTGACTGATAGGGAGAGAGTGGCCCCTGAAGAGTGTAGCTCTCACACAACAAGGCTGATTTTTGTCTCTTGACAAAACCCCAGCACTTTCTGAAACTTCCTTGTACGGATGACACATACTTGTTTGTGCAGATACAAGAAGCATGTGTCCAATACATTTAAGGAAAAGGGAAATTTCATTTACCACAATCCTGAGAATTCCATCTATTTTCACATGGACCGTAAAGCAAAACACACCCTTACAAATTAGCCTCAAGTAACAAATACTCCAAGGAAGTTTGTGTACGTTAGTGAGACCAAAATGCTTCGTCAGGCACGGTTCCAGAGATTCACACCTTTTAACCGTTCCTCTGCTCAAAAGGTCTGTTAGAGTAAGTTGATAATGGGCTTCTTTCCACTGCGAACATTTCCTGCGTGTGTAGCTCCACACAGCGTCCGCGGCCTGCAATGAGCCCAACACGGGGCACCGTCTCTTGCAGCCAGAGCTGGAAGCGGGCAGGGCGCTCGGTGCTCACCCCGAGGAAATGAAGGTAGCGCTGAGCAGCGAAATAGCTCAAAGTCCAACGAAAACATGCACTTTTCGTGTGGATAAATAACCTGCCAGCTTGATTTTCGTTCCCAAGTGATCCCGGTTCAAATGTTTCAGCTCAAGAGAACCAGCTAGCATTTTGCGGGCGCTGGCGTCTCCTACGTCCCTCGCTCAGCCAGTGCCTTGGAGAGCGCATTTAGCTCCGGGAGGCTTAGACCGGCCCACCAGCATGGACGGTTCCAGACCCACGCGCTAATCCGTAATGGAAGCGTGGGAGGAAAGCGTTGCGTTTATGACTTCCTCTGTGCTGCCAGAATCCGAGGACGAGGATTCTGAGAAATTGTCAAGGAAAGGAGGCCAGGGACAGGCGACAGCTCTTCTGCTACCACAAATTAGTGTTTCGCTCCGCCCTCCCCGCCCCCCGCCTCCCGGCTTCCATAGTAATTCTTTTCCAAATTTCCTCTCAAGTCTACTAACAGTCTTCTAGCACAGAAATCTACACTGAGTAAGTTCAGAGCCTGAAGGGATGGGCTGTTACACTACATTTTTCCTCTTCACTATACATAGCTTCAAGGGTCCCAGTGGATGTGATTTGGATCAGTTTTCCAACAGTTTCAACGTTGTGTATTTCAATTCCCCTGCTCACAACACTTGCGTCTGCACCCGTTGCAGAGTGTGGGTGGCGAAGCCCTCAGTGACCGCCTTGGGGACCATCCACACAAACCCTTCCTTATGCTTTGGTATCAGCCGGTTAAGAGCAGGTAGAATGCACAGAAGTGGGGGGACTGTACGGAGCTGGAGCGAAGTGCCTGCAAGGCCCAGGGAGACTGGATCAGAGAGGCTAGAGGGCGGCGTGGGAGACGAACGGGAAATGCACTGAAAAGCCAGGCAAAGGGCCGGGTGGGTTGGGCATTGTTCTGGCTTTTAAAGGGCGGGGATGGTCGAGCCCTCCCGCTGACTTTATGCATTTCTTATTCGATCCTTTGTGAAATCAGAGTCTTCCCACACCCCTGCGAGGATCCTGGGCCGTGGGCGGCTCTCCAGCACTGCCCTGGGAATGCAACCTCCCGAGGCTCCCGACTCGACACACTGTTTCACGAGGCTCCCGGAGCACTGACACTCACATGAACCGCGTCCGGCTGGATCCTCTTAGCTGCTCGTCAAGGATCCCGAACCAATTCAGCCGCGTTTTAAAAGGTAGCAAAGCCGAGATAGATGCTTTTTCTTTCCTTTTTCTTTTTTCGTTCTCTGTCTTTGTTTTTTTTTTTTTTTTTTTTTTTTTTTTTAACTAACCTGTCATTTATGCCTGGAGGGTCCAAGAAGAACCCCCGACCTCTTTACTGTGTCTAACCCAGGGATTTCAAACGGGGTTTTTCAGAATTTAAGTATGGTCCCCCCTAATTGATAATCAAGATTGCGGAGTCTTCCAAAATAACCCTTTCCATTTTCTGTAATTAGAAACCCAGAGGAACTCTGGATTTTCCACGGTACATAATCTATATTTATTCATATTCCCTCTCTCCCTGCCTCCCCTCCCCCCCCACTTCCTCGTGCGCGTGTGTGCGCGCGCTTGTGCGTGCGTTTCCTTTCATTTCTAGCATTAGGAAACTCGTTCAGGGCCACTGAAAAGTCAGGAGAGGCTCAAATCTGATCTCTCACGGATTCTTTCCTCTAATGTTAGGTAATGTCCGGAAACGTTGTCACCAAATAAGTATGAGAGTATTATTTTGGAGAAACAGTTAACCCCTACCAAAATATAAAGCGCCAGAGGAAAAGAGGTGAGACTGGAAGACAAGGGAGCCCTTTGCATTCGCTGGTGGAGCAAAGTGCAATCAGGGGACGGGCTGGGGTTCCAGTCCTTATACTTCAGCACCGGAGGGGATGGACAGCGTCTCTGGACTGGGCGGCCGCCACAGGGACAGAACTGCGCTGCCCTTGCTACCACTGTCGTCGCCACGAGCATCTGGGCTCCCTGCTCCTCGCAGCTAAAAGGCGGTGCCTCCTGATACCCCTTGGTTCTCCCTCCCTTTCCTTGATAGACGGAAAGTAACCCTTCTTATCCACCTGCTACAACTACCATACAGGGCTCTGAGGAGTCCTATTGTTCCACAGATTAAACTCAGAGCAACAACTTCAAGAATATTTCTCCGCAGGGGGCTGGGAGGAAATGCAAGCAGGAGAGTGAAGTTGAAGTTCTTAAAGGCTCTGAAAAACCATGGGCTCTGCAGAAGGGGTTGAAATGCTCAAAGGCCCACACTTCATGAAATAAACAGAATGCTCACCGGAGAGTTGCAACTATTTTGGAAATAGCTTTGAAAGAAGAGTTCCAGATCTACTCTCATCCCTACCTTAGAGACTGAGACTTCTAATTCCTTTACTCGGCTGGTAAGTGATAATATTATTACTTCTACTTATTTACAACTCTAATGACTTTTTAATAAAGGTTTTAACAGAAAGATTATAAACAGTATGATCTTGCCTTGTGGGTTAAGGAGTAGATAATTTTATTTTTCAATGATTGTTCCTGCAGCATGATCTTAGGAAACCTCTTGCCTCATAAAACAGTAGGATATTTTACTTCTCTGAAGCCTCTTATGTGACAAGAATATTAAAAATAATATGTATTGCCTTATATGATTAAACTCTTGGTTATTTTTCTTAGTGCTGATCTTTTTGAATTTGTGTATTTATTTTTTTTTCAAAATTAATATAATCTGGCATTTTGTAAAAGGCTTTTTTTAATCCTATGCATGCGGTTTAAAGTAATCTTCTCTGTGTTATATAGTATTCAAGACTCAAAGTTACAAGTAGAGATGGTTTAGCAACCTCTTCTATTATATTTTATATGATTATAATTTGCCAAACCAGATATAAGAACAAACACATGTATACATACACACTTGATCCCTCTCTCTACCCAAACCCCCAAGTATACTTACACCTGTAGAATCTTATCTAAGAAATACACACATATTTTTTTGCTTAGCATAGTCTTTCCAGTCTTTTAAATCTTAACACGGCTTGCTTAAACCAGATCTGCCAGAAGGGAGAAAATGAGAAGCTTTAGTGTCCCTTTTTAGGAGAGTTGGCTTTTGATACCATACTGACTTCTTCATTCTACAAAATGCATTTGTCACTGAAATCCAAAAAGCAATAGGCCAATAGGTTCTTGACAAACCATAAACTTTAAAGTGTTAATTAAATCTGTTTTCTGTTGATTCTTATTTCTGGAGTCTTCTCCTAGAGGTTTAAAAGTACAATCTTTCACAGTGACCTTGATAAACATTCTGCTTTAATAAAAAGGGTTCACTGGGTAAAGGCAGTTACACAAATTTATAGCATATGCCTGACATTTCCGTTAGAGCTTGATCAATTCCAATAAGAACATTCGGTTCAGCAGAGTGTTGACTTTCAAGTAAGGACTTCTACAATCATGTAAATACATGTGATGCTATCTGCATAACCAACACTGTGGAAACAGTTTGTCCCTTTGAAAAATGATAGTTCTTATGGTTCTCTTTTAATTTCATAGTTCATATATAAAAGTGATATAGAATGTCTCTAGTACATAGCCATACGTACTCCTCACTTTCAATATGAAAATCATCTGAGGCAGTTAAGGTGGTATTTGTTGGTGAGTTGATGGGCCCTTATTTTGCATTGGCTCAGAGTGGCAGTTAAACTCTGAGGAAATACCATTCTTAACTGTCACTTACCGCTTACAATGAACCTGCTTGCTTAGCAGAAAGGGAGCAGAGGCATCTATGTCATTGAGCTCCTTGGGGGCTATTTTGCCCTATATAGGTCAGAAATGATAATCTGAGGAAAAGAAAATGTACCATTGATTTGGATTCCTTCCCAGGAGACTTACAATGTGCTCCTAACACAACCTGATTTTTTTTTTTTTCTAATTTGAGAGATGTGGAAGTGAAATTACCACGTGTAATGATAAATCATGTTTTAAGAGAATTACAGCATATTGTTAAACTTTTATTCTGGTTGTCTATTAATTACCATAGAGAGACTCCCCTGGTCGGCAGAGCATAAGAAGAAAGCAGAGAATGTATTCCAGGAAGCATGGCTGTTGGTATGTGGCCGCAATTACCTTCTTAGTGGTAGAGGGGGCAGGCTTGCCCTATGTGTGGCTGAACTATGCAAAGTAAAAGTTACCTTTGCCTAATTCCTCTGGAGATTTAGTCGTAGAAATAAATAACTCACATTCACCCACTGAAGCTCAGGCAAGGTGCTCATATCAATCCTTATTTTTTGGGAAATTGAGATAGACTTCTGCAGACCAGCTTAATGCCTACCTATATGCTAATATCTAACTGTCTTCCACTCCAAAAAAAGAAAAAAAAAAAAAAAGAGTTGGTGGGCTAATGAACCAGACCTTTCTTTTGTATAGAATCACCTGTCTTTAAAGAGAAGTCAATACTTTACTCTAGTAAATCCTTATCTTATTAAAGTCAGCTGTTTTAATAGTTATTTTGGTTTGTTACAGAAAAAGGATGCATGTGGTTTGGCCAGTACCAGACACAGCAATTCAGCATCCCCTCTCCTGGGGGTTAGGGGAGGGGAAGTATTATTGATAGGATAAGTGTTGTTGGCTGTTGCTTATATTTAAGACTCAAAAAAGAAAAGCAAGATAAGATTACATAATCAGGAAAATGTAAAGTGTATATAGGACAGAGAATAATTAACAGTGAGCTCTGGAATCTATTCAGTTGCTTTTCTGATTTTAATAAGAAGTAGTGGAGAGTGGGACAGAGTTCTGATCGGAATCTTTAAATTACGAAATATTATAAAACTACTTCTTGATCAACTTTTTCTGTAGGCCATCTAAATATTCATTTGATATTCTAATGTAATCACTGATATAATCATATCATATTGGATTTGAGTATCTTCAAGTTGCTTTAGAACTGTTGCTTGAGTTTGAACCAAGTTACACATGCTTTTATCAAAACACATGGGAATATGAAATGATTATTATTGAAACTTAGTAAGGCCCCTAGTAATTGACTTTTATTTTTGTACAATTTAAAATATGTGAATTCTAGGCAAACAACCACTTATTCATCCAATTCTAACAAGCAAGGTAAAAGCCACTGGTGAAGAAAAGTATTTTCGTAAGTCAGAAATTATTTCTATAGTTATCTCACCTCCCCAGAAATCTGTACAGTGAGTCATAGACTAGCACTCAAATGGAAAAAGAATTCTTATTTAGTATATTCCTTCTGTTTAGATTAGGAGATTGAGTCGTACATGGCATGCATTGAAAGAACCAAACATGCTGCAGTACAAAATATGTTATGCGGGGCACCTGGGTGGCTCAGTGGGTTAAGCCGCTCCCTTTGGCTCAGGTCATGATCTCAGGGTCTTGGGATCGAGTCCCGCATTGGGCTCTCTGCTCAGCAGGGAGCCTGCTTCCCCCTCCCCCTGCCTGCCTCTCTGCCTACTTGTGATCTCTCTCTGTCAAATCAATAAATAAAATCTTAAAAAAAAATATATGTTATGCATCATGATGTAGCAGAACAAGTACTGTTTGACAGTTAAAAGGTCAGGATTCTTGAACTGCTTGTCATTAGATCTTGGACAAGTCACTCAACCCACTGAAACTTAATTTTTCTTCCCTAAAAGAGGTTATCTTACCTACTAATTAAGGCACAATGCTTTATGTATGGTGGAAACCTAAGTATTTGTGGGACAAATTAATGAATGCCTACTCTATGAAAGGTTGGAGAGTCACGATATGATGCTTTTGAGAGCATTTTGGAAACCTGAGTGCTGTATCTTTGATTTATTATAAATAATCTCCAATAGCATTGCTTGCTTCATTCATTGAAATTTTCCCTGGTGTTTCCTATATGGTGGGCATATCTCCTATATTTAAGAACTAAAGTGTAAGTAATACAATATTTTCCTGTTAACTCAGCATCAATTTTTTATATCTCTTAATCAAATCAATGTTAGAATGCAGGTAGGACCTAGTTAAAAAATATTTATTACTCAAAACTGACACCATTCTTACACCAAATAATCAAGCTTAGGTCAGCATGACGGAGTTCATTTTATCTACTTTCATTTTGCCCTTAATTGGATCAATCACTGCCTTCGTGTCATCATTTTCTGGTCTGTAAAAGAGGAATGATATTATTAGTTATACCAATAAGAAAACTCATAGGATCAAATGAACTTTAAAACTGAGTATCTAACAACACATGTAGAAAGCTTAGGTTTGATTCAGGGCAAGTGACAATGGAGTGAAGTGTGGACAACATGGACTGATCCATGGAGATGTCATGGAAATGCTGTGAAGATTAGTCCAAAGCTTAGATTCTATTCATGGACATCTTCAGGAATCTCAAGTTAAGCAACATCTCATTGCTTGTTTTCTTTACGTTGGAGTTTAAACTACAACTATGATTTTTTAAATGTAATGACTATGATTTTTTTAAATGTAATTTTGAACATGTAGTCTTTTTAGAGTTCTGTATCTATAAAGATAGATACAGATTTCTATATCTGTATCACTAAAAATATTGTGATAACATGTTTAAGAAATCTAAATTGTTGTGATGAAAATTATAAGATTACCTAGTGATAGAACGTAAAGATTTTTTTTTGTAATCTGTTACCAAAAAGGGAAAAGGAAATAAACTACAAATAAAGGAAAATGGAGAAAATGTAGGAAATGAAGGTCATTAAAATAATGTCATGTGACCAAGAACGTTATCTTTGAATTATCACTGTGAAGCTTTTTGAACACATTCCATACAAAGTGTCAGAAGATCATTTTAGATTTTCATAAATTTAGTCTTCAAATTATCAGCAAAACTAAAATAATACCATTTTCTTAAATTAAAAGAATCATCAAATCAATGCATTAGAGTAGTGGCTAGCTATCACTTCATTACATTTAATGCACATACTTACTCAAATTTTAAAATTAAAATTTGTAAGGTAGTTATAACTACATTTATATTTAGTAAATTTATTACCAGTTACTCAACATTTCAAAGAGCCAGATTTAATTTTTTAAAGGAATACATGCTTACCTGATAAATTCACCAAATAAATTCACAGAAAGTAGGAATCTTTTAGAAATGGTATCAGAATTTTAACAATGTTACTCATATAAAACAGTTGAAAAAATAATACATTCTCTTTAAAACTTCTCAAATGGATCTATGTTGAGAAATAAGTAAGTATCTGAGATTAAGAAATTTAAGAATGATGATAAGAAAAAAGTGTCAATGGGGGAAACAGGTGGTGGGTATTAGAGAGGGCAGGGATTGCATGGAGCACTGGGTGTGGTGCAAAAAACAATGAATACTGTTATGCTGGAAAAAAAAGTGTCAATTGCATGGTTAAAAATACTTATT